TAATTCACAGTTTAAATTGTGTTTCATATGAACTGTTCTGGAAATGCCATTTTGACTGAAGGCAAGGGAAAATAAGAGTGCTGTTTTAATATAACTTGAAATCTTGATGGTAAAAGGTAATTTATATTTTCAGTAAAAGGCTTTTATCTTCAGTGGAATCTAATGATAATTGTATTGATCTGACATCAGTACTGAATCTGGCCAGATTCTGCTTCTGGTGGGAACCACAAATATTTCACGTTGTTCCAGCAAATAGAACTCTTTCTGTCCGTTTCTTTGGCTGTTTACAAGTGGTAGCATTTTGCTGGTCTGTTTGATAGATACTTTCTTTTGGTCTATTTTAAGATGAATGGCTTTGAATTTTCAGTCACTGTTCCCCTTTCACTGTATTTATAGTAGAGTCCTAGTAGTCAATGCTGGATTTGGTTTTGTTGCTTGTTTCGTAACAGCCAAGAAACCAGCTGTGTTCCATGATTTATGGGAAAATCCAAACCTTTCAAATTAAGTGAAGGGTATACAGCTTCAGAATTAATTATGTTCTTAAACATAATGAAAATCTCCATTTGAGAATGAGGCGTATCCCAAAGTTTGGAACAGATGAAATGAGCTATTCAACTCAAACCTGAGGTTTCTTTTCACCTAACAACAATTCTGATAGCCATGCTTAGAAGAAAGCTTGTGTTTTGAATGACTATGTGTGCACAACTAGCTCTACATAGCTGGAGATTGATAAGACTACAGTCACAAAGCATGTGCATGCAAAATTGGCAATGCCCATTGCTAGCAGGCAAGACAGCACCAGGAGATCTCTAGGGTTTTTTCTTAGAAGAAATAACCCTTAGGCAGAACCAAAGTCAATAACCCTCAAGAGTCAAATAGAGACAGGAGAACTTAGCAGCAATTCCTTCAATATATCACAAAAAAACTAGACTGTGTTACGACAAGAATAGACCATTGGATCCCTGAAATGGTCTGAGAAATCAAACATGAAAGAGGCAGCCTTCAATGCAGGCAGCCTTCACCTGCATTGCTGAATGCAATTTAAGTTTCTCTCTCCAACACCTGATAACACTGTATATAATACATTTGGTATGTTTTATATTCTTTTTGTTTAAACTTACTATGTGAAATTTTGCCTTCATAAAAACTGATCAAAAAGCTGGTCCTCTTAGTGTGTCAGAACGCCAATGATTCAGTCTTTCTATTTACTTCTTTCTTTTATTCCTCTCAGTAGGTTGGTCTTTGTTCATCTGCCATTTTTTTCTTTTTTTTTTCCTATTATTATTTAATTTCTTTCCAATTATGCTCCTCTTATTACGGTAAATTATGATTTCCCATTTAATTCCTCCAATTGTTATGACAGGTGGCAGAAAACTGATACTGAACAAGAAAAGTTTCTGGTATTTACCCTTTGTAAGACTGGATGTTCAATCACCTTCCTCTGAGTGTTCTGGTCACTGTACTGTTCCAGGATCATGTCCTGCAATTTTTAACATTTCCTTTAGTGGAAATTTTGCTTTGACTACAGTAAAATAAAACTAGGAATAGAAGAGTTGATCTGACCAAATAGTAATTTTTTTTCCTTAATTCCCTTGACATCTTAGGGAATTGCAAATGATGAGTTATTGATTTGGCAACATAAAATTGATAGATAAAAAAAAATCGGCTCCAAACTACTTTAAATTTCTTCTGGCAAAAGAGAACATATTAAAACACGGTAAAGGGAAGGGAAAGAATTTACTCCTAGATACATCAAGCAAGCAGACCAGTTTTTATTGAGGTGACATTTGTATGTCATAGAGGGTGAACTCTCTGTGAAAAGTAAATATACCAGAAATCAGATGCATAACAACTTTTATTTATAGCCAATGTCTGGTATAACATTTATCATGAAGTTATTGAAATCTGTAAGAACTGAAGATTGACCAGTCTGGATTAGGCAATATGATTACTGCAGAAGCAAAATGAATACAGCTTACATATACAAGGTGTCTGACTGCAGCTAGAACTCCCCAGGATGTTTAAACCCCTATCAAATAGCTGAAAATGGAAGTTATTCTTATGGATCCTCATGAAATGAGGGGAAGGGGCTGAATTCATGTCTATGTGGCCTTTGAGCAAGAGCACATTGAAGGAAATTTGCATGAGAGAGTGAATGAAACGTATGTGTAATTAGAACAGTATTTTATAGGGTTTGTTTGGGTTTTATTTTTTTTCTTGCAACGCTCTGTTTGCTTGCATTTTGTAAAACCTTAATTTCAAGTTTTGATAGGTATAACTCTCTTTTGTATTGAAACCTGCCTTGTGTTGGGGAGCAAGATGCATCATGGGGAAACAGTAGGGCTGTCTACAATGCTAGAGGTAAAAAGTCAGAAGAATATGTATGCGAGTAGTGGAAACGGAGCACACCTTGAGACACAAGTGCTGAGAGTGCTTCCTCCTGCTCTGTTAAGCATCATTATGGGAAATGTGAATGCCAAATAACAGCTTTTGGGAAGGAATTCCCTCTGGTAGAACAGTCCTCTGTTCTTCCTGCTTAGAAACAGATGGCAAAGTTAGCCCACATCACCAGGCAGACCTGGATTTTCTGTGCCTCTTTAGGCTGAAGATTACTTTAATCCAGTAAGTCATTGTTCATTTTGGTCATACAGATGTTTGAACTGACTTAAAATGAAATAAAAATTATTTTGGGAGTAATCCCTGCACTTTTTATATAAAGCAAATGAGCAGTAGATGTAAGGCTGATTTTATACAACATGGACCATAATAGCTAACAGAGGTGAACTAAACTGTGAATATATTTCTGATATATTATAGCATTTGTTTATCTTGGCCAAGTAGGCTGTTATATATTGTCATAATATTATTTCCAATAGTTTTCTAACATTTTTATGTTATGGCAATGCCTTTCATAGTTTATGAAAAGAGCTATATGAGCACAGAATAAAAGAGAGCTCTGTATCATTCAGATGCTACAATATCTTCATTTAATCCTCTTGATTTATAGCTATGACTTTTTTCTTTTTTCTGCTGGGCTCATTATAAGAGCCCACAGTCATTCACTCCTTTAATTGCATAAAGTAACACTAAACACAGTGAGCCTCTGATCAATAAGAAAAATACAGTACAACAGAACGAAAATAGCAGCACATTGGCTAATGTATTAAAGAACCAAGCAGCACAGAAGTCCTCAACTTTTCTGAATATTACATGTATAGAAAATGTATTTCTTTAGAAAGATTTCATGTTTAGAAGCTGTAGAAGTGAAATTGAGTAGGTAATTTCTTTATCTTTGCAACTTCTGTTGTTTGATCATTACTCCAATTTTACAAAGACAGAGATGAAGCATTAAGAAAGTTAGGGGGTAGAACCTCTTTCTTACTGTCTTTGATCAGGAAATCTGAGCCATTTTCATCAAAGAAAGCACCACTTAGTCTATTTAAATTCATTATTGCATATCTTTATAGTTCTTTGAGGATTTCAGATAGTAGAATTGAAAATTATCTTAAAATGTCTAAACCGAGAAAAGCTGTCTTAGTCATAGGAGTTACATAGACAGAGGCTGAAATAGTCATCTCTTCAGTCCTTACACTGTCTTAAAAACAAAGCAGCACTTTTTATAGCAAGGGGTTAATAGCTAAAGTAGACAATATTGTCCAGTTGCACAAATATTTCTAGGAATACTAATGTTTTGGTACCATACAGTTTCCTCTAGGCTTTGATTTGTAAGTAAGAGATCTTCCTATTTCTCCTGTCCTGGTCACTTCTAAGTATATATTAAGCATTGCGACTACTTGCTGAGTTCCACAATAATTATTAATGTTGGCAAATATCCACTGGTGGCAAGTCTGCGAGCCACCATAATCCATTCCTTTACTGCAGCTAAAAGTTGTATTTAAAATCACCAATATTAAAAAGAAGTACTCTATATGTAGAAATTGTCACTTGACACTGAATTGCTGATCATTTAAAAATGGAGTTTCAAAAAAAAAATTGAAAAATGAGGCTTGCACACCGAATTGGATTGATTTGTGTTAGTAATAACAAATTCAAGTTGCATATAAACTTTATGCATCCTGGATGGTTGCAGAGTAAAGTCAATGATTATTCATTTGCTTAAATCAAAAGTCTTATTAACATGATTAGCAGCAAAAGGGTAAAAAGTATATCCTGTGTTTAGGAATTTGTGCAAAGCAATAACACCATTGCTGTGCCTCTGCTGTGTCAGAGTCAGAGGACCAGACAGTGCTAGCTAATGAATCTCTTGAACAGTAATTCAAGGTCGAATGATGATGATTTGCATCTTTTCTTAACTCCATGTTTGGGAAATTTGGCTTCCTTGCTATTTTCTTCTGCAATATTCTGAGGGGCTTTTTTTCTTCTGCAATATTCTGAGGGGCTTTTTTTCTTCTTTTTTTCTTCAGACAGAATGCCATCAGAAATGTTTTTCTAATGACCTTTCCACTGTTCCAGTATAACATGCTGGTGAGATTCAAATAACAACTGAGGACTAATAAAAAAATCTGAGTAAACCAAATGTACAACCATTTATGATAGTTTTATTTTTTATCTTTTTATCTCCTATTTTTACTTGATTAAAAACACAATATGAATAATGTTTTAGAAGATGAAAAATGAAATTGGATTTTCATGGGGTTTAATCTGATGTGTGAGAAATATAAAACTAATCTACTTAGGAATGCTTTACTTGAACTTTTTGGCATGCATAGAATCATAGAATCAACTGGGTTGGAAGGGACCTCTGAGATCATCAAGTCCAGACCTTGATCCACTGCAACTGTGGTTACTAGACCGTGGCACTAAGTGCCACATCCAGTCTCATCTTAAAAACCTCCAGGGACAGAGAATCCACCACTTCCCCGGGCAGCCCATTCCAGTGCCTGATTACCCTCTCTGTAAAGAATTTCTTCCTAATATCCAACCTAAACCTCCCCTGGCACAGCTTAAGACCATGCCCTCTTGTCTTACTGATAGTTGCCTGGGAAGAGAGACCAACCCCCACCTGGCTACAACCTCCTTTCGGAGAGTTGTAGAGAGTGATGAGGTCTCCCCTGAGCTTCCTCTTGTCCAGGCTAAACAGCCCCAGCTCCCTCAGACTCTCCTCATAAGACTTGTGCTCAAGTCCCTTCACCAGCCTTGTTGCTTTTCTCTGGACCTGCTCCAGCACCTCAATATCCTTCCTGAACTGAGGGGCCCAGAACTGGACACAGCACTCGAGGTGTGGCCTCACCAGCACTGAGTACACGGGAAGAATCACTTCCCTGATCCTGCTGGCCAGGGAAGACCAGGATGCCATTGGCCTTCTTGGTCACCTGGGCACACTGCTGGCTCATGTTCAGCTTCCTGTCAATCCAAACTCCCAAGTCCCTTTCTGACTGGCTGCTCTTCAGCCACTCTGTGCCCAGCCTGTAGCGCTGCAGGGGGTTGTTGTGGTCTAAGTGCAGGACCCGGCACTTGGCCTTGTGCCACTCATCCTATTGGAATTAGCCTGTCCAGGTCCCTCTGCAGAGCCCTCCTGCCTTCCAGCTGATTGACACTCCCCCCCAATTTAGTGTCATCTGCAAATTTGCTGATGGTGGACTCAATCCACTTATCTAAATCATCAATACAAATATTAAATAGAATTAAGCCCAACACTGATCCCTGGGGGACACCACTAGTGCGCGGCCGCCAACTGGATGCAGCACTGTTCACCACCACTCTCTGGGCCCGGCCATCAGCCAGTTCCTAACCCCTGTCCAAGCCATGAGCTGCCAGCTTTTTCAGGAGTATGCAATGGGAGACGGTGTCAAAGGCTGAAGTCCAGCCTTCAGCTAATCTGCCTGAAGTCCAGGTAGATTACATCCACAGCATCTTCAGTTCCATTTTGCTGAATGTGTTCTTCAGCTCCCTTCATTTATGAGTGTGGAATGTTAGACATTACTTATCTTATTTGCCAAAGTTTCATATTTTTCTGAGCCAAGTGTGAACAGAGGATTTCCTGTAGTAGACTCTAATGTGGAGTTTGATGAGAATTTCAGAATTAAAACTGTAAGCTATGCTGTTTACAGAATAAAATAACAAGGAGTCTTTATTCCATCAAGCTTTGAACTGACTTCCTAAAAAAAGTATTCTAGGTTCTCATAGAATATCACATTATTCATGCCTCTATTTTCAACTTAGTAGTATAATCAAAGAACTTGTAAAAACTAAATTAGGGATCACCCAGATGAGAAAATTTTATTAATATCTTTATAGTGAAGGATAAAGCCTCCATTTTTGGTCTTAGAAGATTTCAGTGTGTTTTCCAGTCATTTTCTACTCTTAATCTCTGAAGTGATCATAGAACAAACAAGAGAAATAGGAAAAAAATAGCATTTTCATAAAACAAAGGACCTCTGTAAATATAACCTGCTTTTAAACCTCTTAATTCTGATGCAAAGATACTCTCTGACTTTCATGAGGGATTTTGGAGCTTTGCCTTTATAACAGGTTGCCTGTCCCTTCAGCTATATGAAGGTATATATACTTGAATTTTTGTTTCTTTCATTTTCATTTTCATACTAGCTTTGACAGAAAATTTTTGAGTGTTGATTAACTTGTATGTATGCATTTTGATGATTTACACATTACCACAGATAAAACATAAGTGTTGTAAACAAGTGAAATGAAAGAGAAGGACTGATTTAGAATGCAGAAGAGCTATTTCTTGGCTATAATAAAGTTTTATTTGGAAAAAAAGAGGTAAATTATGTTGGTTCAGAGGGAGGTTTCAGAGCGTTGATGTATGGTGCTCAGAACCATGCCTGCCACACTGTCATACAAAAGACACCACAGTTATTATCTCCAGTACCTTGCAGATCAAAAGGACAAATTCAGTCTCATTATAATACACTATGTTCTTCACTTGAAGAGGCTCTGTATTCCCTAGTCATGCCTATGAATTTAGTGCAGTTAAGGAATTATATTGAACTGGATATGTAGACAACTGTGTTGACCCTTATACTTCTCTATATATACACCTTTATTGATTATAATGAGCACTAAAAAGAAAGTAAATTTATGAGTTCTGTAAAACCTGTTAATGGTAAATTAATTTGGAACTTAGATTTATTATTTTATTCCCATTTTAATCATATTTTTATGATTTTTATGATTTTTACTGTGTTACTCTTATGAAAATTGCAATACAAATGTGCATGCACAATCTATTAACACCTCTACTTTTTAATTTCTTCATTTTCTTTGAAACCTTACTGAAAAACAAATTTGCCATATTTCTTCACCCCCTTCTTTTCCCCTCTTCCAAAGGAGTGTAGTTCATCTGAAGGATTGCTATGGTAGAAAATTTTTTATATTTCCAGTAAAATGTGGGAGGGATAGAATGGTTATACTGTATACATCTACATAAATATTATTATATTATCCTCAAGTGCACTATCATGTTTTAGTCATTCCTTTCCTTATCTTCACCATCCACTGAGACCATTCATTGCACAGGAAAACTTAAAAAACGAACTGCAGACAAAGAGATTTTGTGATAATTTTTGAATGCTTGTTTTTGCAACTGAAAGAACTGCCTTTTTTTTTTTAGTTAAAACAAATTTTTTGTGTTTCAGATACAATATATTTTTTTTTCTTATTATTACTAGGAATTTTAATATTTTTCAGTGCATACTCAGAAATTCCTGTATAAACAGCCAGAGATCTGTACATGGAGGGGAAGCAGACTATTGAGTTGAGCTCAGCAGTGCATCTGAGAAAGTAGGGTTCATCCCTAAACCTGATTTTTTTCATCTGGCAGTAGGTAGAATAAATCAGTTTCTCTCTGAAAGAAAGAGGGATGCATTTATAATATGACTTTGGTTTGGTTAGGTTTATCTTGGTATTGTTTATATAACTTTAAAAGAAAATTGATTAACTTTCCAATTTTTTCCTCCCACAACTCTGAAGAGATGTTTTTGGTCTCCTTTGATGTACTCTTATTCTGCATTTAATCAATGCCTCTGTATTCGCTTAGTCTTGTAGTTCAATCCTTGCAATCTTCAATAGCCTCATCATATTCAATTCTTTTAAAGACTTCATGAAAACACTGAAAAAATTCTTCTTGGAAACAATTCTGCCATCATCTCATTGATTTTGTTTGCATCAAATCATGATTTTTTTGTTTCTTATGTTGCTGACTCACCCTGTCCTTCTGTACTCCAGATACGTACGGTGGTTTTCACACACCCTCCGTCATTCTGTCTTCCAGATTGGTGTTCTAGTTAGTAATTAGCCTTGTCCTTGTGTCCCCTGTCTCTATTTCCACTCTGTCCTGATAGAGCAGCTCATTTTTCTTAAGTTTATTCTGTCCCTGTTTCTTGCCCTATGACTGTTTATGGGGTTGCATGATGAAAGAGAAAGACCTATTTTAAAAGTATTCTGCCTTTACAGGGAGGTTTGTTATTAACCTGGAAGTTATAACCTGGTTCCTCAGAAATCTCTGCAGTGAGTGGAATTGTACCAGCACAACCAAATGCATGTTCAGGGGATGGAAAAATGCCTGGGGATACAGGAGGCAGGATCTTCCTGAGAAAGACAGTTGCCAAAAGAGTTGTGAAAAAATGGTCTATTTCCTTACCATCTCTCCCCAGATCGTTTACTTTAGTGATTACATTTAGCTAACTTTCTGAAAGGTAAAGGCTGTCTCAGCTCATCTGTTTTGGAGTGATCTCCACCAGTCAGTATTAACAAGTCCCCCCCAGGACAGGAGAGTGAAAAACAACTGTGCTTATTGACTTTCTCATTTTGGAGGAGCTAAACTGTTTCCAGCAATTAAAGGTAATTTGAAGCTTTCTGGGAAGTGTAGAAATTGGAGTTAGTAAAAATAGTGTCTCTTATTCCCCAGCCCTGCAGGAACTGAGCTGTTGGTCACTGATAGCTCTCTTTTTTAACGTTTGTACGACCTCCAAGGGATTTATGACCCACAGTTATAGAAAACAGTACTAATAAGTGCCCTTCTTGGTCTCAGATGCCACCCTTCTGTGCATAAAATGTGTCATCTGCTCTTCTCTTATGACTCTGCTCTCCTTTGGAACACTATCATTCTCAGGAGGAATGAAACATGCAATATTGATATTACCAGGAGATTTATGGCAGGAATGTGAAGCCATGCATAAAGCTTTTTAAGCAGTTCAAGTTAACTAGGCACAAGTAGTTGGAAGCCAAGATCCCATTAGACAGAACCTCATGCAAGGGATGACAAGCAATGACATAAAGATGGCACCTTCTTACGTAGTATTTGCTCTTAGTTTTCTTTGTAGTGTATTTTACTGGCAGAAGCACATGTTTTATACAATTACGTCAAACCACTGTTGCTATAGAAGGAGCTGGCTCCCGTTCCACTGTAAGGACTATGACTTGTTAGGGATTTCATATTTGGTGGGGATGATGTAAGGTGCTGAAAACTTTGGCCTGGGTTTCCAGCCTAGAGTTTGTGATCACATCACTTACAAAGAATGGGTATTCTTCCCCATCAGTGGACAAACAAGACTATAGATTCTCTCTTTTTTTTTCTTTTGTTTGTTTTAGTTTTCTTGGTTTTGTTTGGGGTTTTTTTGATTGTTTGAATGTTTTTTTGGTTGGTTGGTTTTGATTGATTGGTTGACTGGTTTAGTTTTGTTTGGTTTTACTTTTATTACCCATTGAGGCATATAGACCTAAAATGCATGCTTAAATTCTTTCTCAGCATTTCTCTGGAGCTGATTCCAAACTGGCTCCATCTCAAATGTTCTTGCTGTTATTGCTTATCACAGTAAATGATTCCCATCAGAAATTCTAAGCTCTTTCCAGTGCTGCAAGACATCCCTCAATATTCAGAGTGTGGTCTTGGTATGCTGAAATAAAATGAGATATATTCACTAATTTCTTTTTTCAAGTTAATAGCAAGGTAAAATTTGATACTTACATGATATGACTATGATTTGAAATGAGCCATTAAATGGCTGGTTCAGTCATGCAGTATTTGCCTTTACCTTTCTGGAGAATACAAGGGATTTTTCTTCTCTTATGTTTTACTTCCTGATTTCTTTTCTGTCAGTGTGTTGAGTTACATAATATGTTCAAATAACAAATGAATTTGAAAATTTCTGCTACTACAATCCATATGATGTGGAAGGTGTTCAGATATAACTTGGAAGAAACAGGAGAAAACCCCAAGAAAATCAGTCAGAAAGGTTAAACCTTAGACCAAAGTCAACTCCTGTAGGGCATTGTACCACTCCAACACATCCCTGCTGTTTGAACAGCAATTCATTTGCTTTTCCATTAAATATTTGCTTTTTATGAGCCCCAGGGCTTTCACAGAAATTTTGTTGTAGCACTTCAAGTAATAAGACTATCTGATACTGTGAGGGTCTAAGTACTCTCATGCTCAGTTTCAAGTTGTGGGGCTTTTGGGTGACCAGTGCTTTCCAAAATCCAGATCTCTAGCTTAGTGCTGAATCCATAACTTTTTATGTCCGAAGGCCCAGCTATTCGGCATAATGTATATCTAAGAGGAGAAATTGGCTGCATTTTGAAACCAAGATTGTAGAAAATTATTTTTAAATAATCTTCCCATATGCATTTCATTTTCTCTGGTTAAAGTGCCTTTTACACCTGAGCTCATAAAGCACCTGGACATGTACTTAACTGACAAGTGAATGACTAGTGTTGCTTTACTCATGACTCCCACATGCAAAAAGCTGGCCACAGGAAAACTAGAGCCTCTAAAACAAATGATGACAAAATAAGAGGGAATATTAAAAATATAGTGTTTTACCTTTTTCCTTTTGGATGAAACAAGAAAAATGAATATAGAGACTTTGATTTGATGTTGGTGGCTTAACAATAGCTTGTCTTAATGCATGTCTTCAAAACGTGTGTTGTTCTGAAGAGGAACTGTAAAGGTGGTGACGAGAGTTATATGGACAGCAAGCAGCAACTTATCAGTGGTTAATATCTAGAATTCAATAGAATGGAAAAGATGGCGAGTAGAAGAAAACAAGATGAGCTTCTATATGAGCTTCTTAAAAAGCTCTGTGGTAATCAAGTTTTAGAGATTTGGAATTTTAAAATTTTAACTGCTTTCTGAAGTGATATATGTAGTGTGGGAGATGCAATTACATTGCTGCAAGGATAGCTGCAGCAAAAATATATGCTGTGGACAAGTATTTAAAATTACAGTGGTGCATAGAAGAAACCTGACAAGCTGTGAAAATTGTAACTGTATCGCTTCTTACATGATATTCTGGGAACTATGTTAAAAAGAAACAGAACTAATCCTAATAAAACATGACCTATCCACTGTACCAAACTACTATAAACTGAACCTGACTGGCTGCTTCAATGGTGATATTTTTTAATCCAATTTAATGGATTCCAGCACTTACCCGGGCAGCCGTTGAAACCTCCTATTGATTGCAATCTCTGTCATCTTTTCATCTGCCTCTTTTGCATTTCAATTATCATTCCACCTCATTTGCCTCTTCCGATCAGGTGGGTATCTAGAAAATGTCTACCATGAAAATAATCCCAATATTGTATGTGATTTCCTGTACTGATTCTATGCCACCTCCATTTCATATTACGTTCCTGTCTCAGTTAATAACTGAATCACACTTCAGATATAGAACTTGTTCTTTACATTCCATGTTTTCCAGGCTCAGTAAGCTCATTGCTCCTCACTGAGTTTTGATTCTTTACTGCACTTACTTTTAAATCTATGATGGTCAAAACCCTCTTTCATGCATAAAACCTATATTTTTCCTTACTGTATTCCTCATAAAAGAAAGTTGGTCTCAGCTCTTAGTTTTAAAGAGAACCAAGCAGCCCAATTTTTTTTTTTTTACCACTGTTTTGTATTATACGCTCTTGGATATGTCATGTAAGCTGTCCATGCCTAAGTTTAATGGTCTTTAAAATGAATACTACAATACTTAATTCACTGGATTATTGTGATCTAATTAATGAATCCTTTGAAAAATCCTTTGAAGTTCCCATTTGTAAGGTGTTTTATAAATATGCAATAGTCATAGCAATAAATTTATTTTATTTCCCGGGTTTCAGCCCAATATTATATGGATTTGGGAATGCTACTTTGTTTTATTGTCCCCAAACATACTGCTTCATTCTACGGGTTATAACTAAATTCTTTCATATCTCAGTTCCTTCTTTAAGTAATGATTGTTTCCTGTGCATAGATGTATCAAAGAGAATTTTAAAGATCTTTTATTCATTTTCCATATGAACTACTGGAGTCCTTAATTATAAAATAGGCCTCTTGAAAAATGTAGATTATTTTCCTTTCAACCTTGTGTGCAGTTTAGAAGCATGCAGTGAAAATATGTTATTTACAGGTGAGGCATACTTCCTGAACATGTGGAGAATTATTAATACTTTTTGGTACCATGAAATATTCCCACATTACTCCAGGTGGGATCTCTTGAGAGTGGAGTAGAGGGGGAGAATCACCTCTCCTGGCCTGCTGGCCATGCTGCTTTTGATGAAGCCCAGGATGCAGTGGTCTTTCTGGGCTGCAAGCATCCACTGCTGGCTCTTGTTCAGTTTTCATCCACCAGTACACCCAGCCCTTCTCTACAGGGCTGCTCTCAATCCTTTCATCCCTGAGCATGGATTGACACAAGGGGTTCCCCTGACCCAGGTGCAGGAGCTTCCACTTGGCCTTGTTGAACTTCATGTAGTTCACATGGGCCCACTTCTCCAGCAAATTATCCATTTTAATTTCCTTTCTTTATTAAAATTTACTCCAGTTCTGTATGTGACAAGAATCTAGCCTCACAACGTAAGTACATCTCATATATATAAGTGAAAGCATGGCTGTTGTAAGTACTTTTCATTAGAGCTGTAGGAGAGGCAGACAACTGAGACTATAGTTCTCTGCCCAACTACTTCTTAATAATTTCTATTTATCAGTCAAGAAAGGATTAATGAAAATTTACTTATCTATACAAATATAGACATCACCAATTGCTGTGAAGAAGAGGCAGAACCTTTTTAATATACCTGAGAACAATATTCGAGTTATTTGAGTTTAGGGAATAAAATGGGGTAAATATCAATAGACTGTCAAAGAATAACACTTGTAATACTGTAATAAGAATTATTCTGCATATCGTTCATACACCTTTACAAATATTGGAAACACAACAGCTGCAAATTTTAATTATACCCTTGCTGCTCCACTGAGAGTTAACATTTTTAACCCTGCTGTGAACTACAAACTGTCTCCTAATCTTGGGGGGAAAAAAAAAGCAACACAGTCTTTTTTCTCTATTTATATTTAATTTGCAGTAGTCCCTCAGCTAATTTTAAACATTTATTTATGTAACCATATAAGTCAGTGAGATAAATTTATGTCATGATCAAAGTACTTATGAATTCATGAAATCTAAAATTTAGGAATTATTTTATAAAAGATGATAATAAATTTTCAAATCTAACTTTTTATCCTTCAGATATAAAGTTTGAAGTCAGAAATGGCTGCTTGCAGGTGTAATTCAGGTTTTTAAAGGGATATAATTATTTTTGACAAGCAGATCACATGATAATTTCACATATTATTTCCTTTATTCTTAGAGGAATATACGTGATATTAAAGTTTTGAATATTTTTCTCAGTTTCCTGTGATTTGGGAAGAAACCAAAGAATAAACAAGAGATTGATATTATTTTATCAAGGCTTTGATTTCTGAAAGCTTTTTTATAGCAACATTTTAATGAGTGCTGATGTCTGGGCCTAGACAAAAGCATCTGACCCTGGTTAATTCTGTAAAAGCCCATAGAGATTCAGAGACATTAGAGATACTGTAGCTTGAACCTTGATCTTTTGCATTTCTTTCTTCTAACAGCTCTACATTTCACACAAAGGATTTTTTTTTTAAATGGAAAAATACTGTTGAAGAGATGATAGATATTAAAAAATAGAGAACATGAGGAAACACCATGCAAGGGATAGTTTAATTTCTAAGTATTTTTGCTCTATTTTTATTATTCTCTTTAGTTAAATATTAATAGAGTCAGTGCTACTTAACCAAAGTCATTCCTATCATCTCACTAGCCTACATCGAATTAAGAGAGAATGAACTTCAGCTCTTTAAGTGAGCGGGAGATAACAATGCAGCATGACACAGAAATGATTGAATTTGCCAGCAGTGTTTGTGCAATGCTTGCTAATTTACAAGGGCTATTTCAAGTGAGTCAGTGGCTGGGATTCCTTGGGGGTAGTTCTCCTGGGCACTGAAACTGAATCAACGTTTAAATGGTTTTACTTTTAGACTAGCTTAGAAAAATCATGAGTAAATAGATTTTTTCATAATTAATGCAGCATCTGCAAATCATACAAGGATCATTTGCTTTTCAAAAGGAGAGAAAACTGTTCTCGTTTGTTGGGGCATTTTGCACTGTGTGAAAACTGTGAAGTAATGTAAAATGCAGGTTGCTGGACTAAGACAAGTCCAAGTACTCACTGATCTGGATGAATCCACTCCCCCCTTTAGTAGATAATGAATCTGCTATGAAGGAAATAAACTGAGCTGTAAGCCAGAGATATGAATTCTCTCTGTTCTGCCACTGATGTGCCTGCACCAAGGCATCCCACCTTTCCCTGCTTTAGGTCCTCTTTGGCTAGAGACAGGAGAGTTAATGTCCCCTTTCAAAAGAACATCCAAGTAATTAAATCATGATTATATAATGAAATATTCACAATGTGTTATTTCCAACCCTTAAGTTACAGTTCCAAACTATAGGAACTCCAAATGTTATTTTCCTTTGTAACATCCTCAATATGTTTTAAAATATGACTGTTAATGTTTTGCTGGAGTGCCCACATTTCAGTACAATAGCATAAGGGAGATTGCTTTGCTTCTGTGTTTGTACTGTGTATTTGCAAAGGGGAACAGCAGCCTAGACATTTGCCATGTTGGTGCAATAAATACCTGTGCTCACTTCAATGCTGTAAAATCTAATAAAGTAGGAATTTGAGGGCTGGATGTCTCTTTTCATAACAGAAAGGAAGGTGACATTTTGGCAAAGGCATAGAGTGGGAGCAAGAGACAACTCTTCTGTTCCTGCCTTCTTGATGTCATGTATATTAGCGGAAGTCTAGACAAAATCAAATAAAAAATCCTTTTCTAATTAGGCAATGGCTTTTCTTTTGTAAACTATTGACTTCAGTGAAACTGCTCAGGCTTCATCATTGCGGGTTGCTACCTGTGCACCTATACTAATTCTTTTTTTTTAAATCTTTCTCGCTCTATATAAGATAATTTAATTAAACAAATCATCTTGCATCTGTCCTCACTTTTAAGGTCAATTTTGGGGTATAATTCTTACAGCGTTGCCATCATGATTTGGACTTCCATATGCTACTGCAATATATTCAGTAACTGTAATGAATTTATGAAGTACTCGAGGATTTAAACATTTTTCTCTTATAAAACCTCTGGAGGGACAGTTATAAAATGAAATTCTAAAAACATCTAGGGAGATGGTAACCCTAAAATGGCAATCCTTTGTCATCAAAATGAGGAAAATAGATTTTTCTCTTTGGCTTCTTTCTAAAGAACTCCTAAGATTTTCAACATTGCAAAAGGGGTTCCTGGAACAAGCAAAGTTGGTAGCTCCCTAAAGAAACACCTTGGAGAATACAGAAAAACAGTGATACTTCCTCTGTCTCATACATAGCCAAACATTATGAAGTGAAGGCATTGTTCTTGCTAAAGAAATAGTTCAGGTACTATGATATGAAGACTGTTGCTTGACTCTTAAAATTGCTGGTGTTGTCTATTTTACATACCCTTCCAATTCCTTGAATTTTCCTTGGCTTCCGTATTTGTGAAGTAAAGAAAACTTCTTACAGAGTCTTTTGGCTAAATCTGCATAAGGCCTCTCAACTTGTGCCAATTTTAATACTTTAAAACTTTATAGATTTACCAGATGAAGCTCCTTCCCGAAATCTGTGTCCTTGAGTTGTAAATTTTTGGAACAGACAACTTCTGTTTCTGAACTAATGCTTCTTTTTGCTAGACTTATCATACCTAAAGAAAAGCTGCAAGATTTTATTTTTTTTAGGTTTTTTGCACATACTTATTAAGATATGTTTTATTTTTTTTTTTTTGCTTTTAGACAAAGTAATTCGGTTCATTTCCTTGTAAAAATAACTCAAAAGTAAAAGTAAGGAACTGAAAAGACTGCTGGGAATTGAGTAGCATGGATGATTAATGGCCTGCTGCTTCTGAAAACTACAAGTCAGATATGAAATTTCTTTGATAACAAAATTGGAATTTCATATTTTAGTTCATATACCTATTGAAACGTATATTACTGTATGTGCTTTCTTCCTGATGTACAAGTGAACTTTCCATGGAAATTTTTGTTGAATTAAAAGGGTTATGTTGTAATTTCTGTTAATGTAACA